TCTGTAGGGAGATTCCACCAGCAGTGCTGGGTTCCTGAACACATGGTTCAAACTTGGATTTATGTAACAGAGAAAGGTTTGTCCACACAGTTTTATTATGCAGCTGATATTTTACACTCTCTTGATGGGACTCAAGCCTGCTTCTCTTTTATTCTTATATTGCTTGCCATAGCTGTAGGCCCTTAAATGTTGTATTTCTCTTACCCACCATTCCAGATTCCCTTTCCTACTTTTGAATAATGCTCTTCTGCACAACTTAATGGCTCATAACTTAATGGCTTTGTTCAAATGTAATTAGTTTTATGGAACAAATTTATGTTATGTGTAAAAGTATTTTATACACATTTATACCTTTTTCAAGTGTGTAATTATTCCATCTCCTCTTTGTACTTCTCCTTAATTCACTACCAAAAGGATTTAAAGAAGCATCTTTGAGCAAACATACAAAAATTCATAGTGAACAAATATTTTTTCTTGCCTATTATATGCTAGACTTGTAATGGAATGAAAGGCAAAATTTCAAATGAAAAGGGGAAAATAGAAAGCAAATTTTATAAACAAAACAAAACCAGTAAATTCAAAACCAAATTATTCTGCATAAAGATAAAACTTTGAACCTAAAGCTTTGCTATGAGCTTCCCAATAGCCAACGTCAAAGAAAAATTATAGGTTTTATAATTCTCTTAGTCTAGTGAAAGGAATCACATCAGCTGATCAATATTTTTATTTGACCCTGAACTTTAAATTCTTCTTTTTTAAAATGTTGTATTAGTCTGGGTTCTCTGGAGAAACAGAGCCAATAGAATGCACACACACACACACACACACACACACACACACACACACACACACGGAGAGAGATTGAGAGTGAGATTGATTGTATTACAGGAATTGGCTCCCATAATTGTGGAAGCCGAGAAGTCCCACAAAATGCTGTCTGTAAGCTGGAGAACCAAGAAAATGTGGTATAATTCAGTCTGAGTCCAAAAGCCTAAGAACCAAGGGAGCCAATAGTGTAAGTCCTTATTTGACCTCAAAGGCCAGAGAACCAGGAGTGCCAATGTCTGAGAGTAGGAGAAGATAGATTTGCTAGCTCAAACAGGGAGAAAAAATTTACCTTTCTGTTGTATCTGGGCCCTCAATGGATTAGATGATGCCTGCCCACATTGGAGGAAACAATCTTCTTTACTTAGTTTATTAATTCAAATGCTAATCTCTTCTGTAAACATTTTTATATACTCATTCAAAAATAATGTTTTACCAGCTATCTGGGCATCCTTTGCCCAGTCAAGTTGACATATACAATTAACCATCACAAATGCTAAGTCTTTCAAAAGGTTAGAACCCTTGTTTATTATTGCTTTAGTATCTCCTTATGCTATTCAGTACTTGATACACACTGGATAAATAATAATATTTAACCAAAGATCAGTCAACATTAGTATTTAATTATCTTCATTTTTCTTCTAAAGACACAGAAACCTAAGAATTATCATATAAGTGCAAAGTTAGGGAACATAGAATAACATTACCCTGACTTCTGACACCACTTAAGAGTTTGGGGATTCCCAAGACCATGCTTAGTTTCAATAATTTGCTAGAAGGGTTCCAAGAACTTAATGAAAACTGTTACGTTCACAGTTACAGTTAATTACAAGAACGGATACAGATTAAAATCAGCATGGGGCAGAATCTAGGAAAGTTCCAGATGTGGAGCCTTCAGTTGTCCTCTAGTCATGGAGTCATGGACAATGTGAACTTTTCCTGGCAACGATGTGTGACAATATGCATGAAGTTTTGCCCACCAGGGCCTAAGCCGCAGTGTCCAGAGTCTTTACTGGGGCTTAACCACAAAAACTGGGTTGGCCACCCACATGGCTGACCTCTGTGTCCCTCCAGTGGTGAACTGGTACCATGTAATCCAAACCCCCACTCTAAATCACATTGTTACTGTCTGGCTGGCCCAAAGCCCCCAAGTAAACAAAGACACATTTATCAGGCAGGATATTCCAAGGGCTTAGAGAGGACCTCCCGGGAACCAAGGGCAAAGGCCAGACCTCTCTTTGAGAATGGTTAAATTCTTTGCTATACTCAAGGACAACCCATGGCTCATGAATCCAGCATCTGATTTTCATGATAATACCATTAACCTGTTTATTGGGGGGCGTAGCTAGTACTGGCTATGATCCGGGGTGTTAAAGTTGAAAAATGCGTAATCCTTGACTTTCCCTTTGTTTATTAAATATGAATTAAGTAAACAAAACAAATAAAATAAAATGTTTTGACCCTGTTTTTCTTTTTAGCCTGTAATTTATGTTGGAGTAAAAAGTTCTAACATTTTAGAAAAAAGTGTTTTTTGGTTTTTTTTAGTATTAATAGTTTTAAAAGTTCCTTTGTTACATTTCGAGAGTTCAAACATTGTGACATTTTATGAAGAGGTGTTTGTGTATTCATTCTCGTTGTGATTCTAGATCTATAAGTTTATAGATTTAAAATTCCAAGATTTCCTCTTACATTTATTATATCCCTCAGCTGCTATTTCTCAGATGGAAAAAAATATTTTTAAAAGAAGTTTACTCTTTTTTATTTTCTGAACATTTCTCAGGGTTTTTTTTCCTTAAGATGTGAAACCAAAAGTGCACTTATTTTTCCAGGGAGCACTATTTTGAGGAACCAGAGAAAATTGAGCTTGCTACCATAGAGTATACTCCATGAGTGTAGGGATTTTATTTTATTTTACTTTTGTACTTTTAGCTCCAGTGTCTATTACACTGCTTGACACATACAAACACTAAGTACATATTTGTTGTGTCAGAGGACAGTTTTCAAAAAGTTAAAAACCTAACTCTTGTATAAGTCTAAAACTAGCATATACCAAAGATCTACATAAATCATTAATGACAGAAATAGCAGGGTAGTAAAGTTGTTTCAAAATAGGCACTGAAAGAATGCTGGTTTAAGATTGCTAGGTTAGATTTTACAAATGATTACTGTCATTCAGGAAAATAAAATTGTAACCACTGGGTTTTCTTTTCCAGTGCACAGAAATCATTTTGTATTTTTACTTAGATAAAATTCATTTGCGTTGCTATATGACAAAAATTATTTGCATTGCTATCAGTTTTTCAGAAGATAATATCTACCCTTACAGAGTAGTAAATATTCTCATTAATAGCAAAAAGTAAGCCAAAGAAATATTCTTAATAATACTGGAGAACTTAATTGCATCTATAAGATCAGCAAATTAAAAGATATATCCTGTTTGATTTCCAAATGCAGAAACAATTATTAGCTTATTGGTAATTTGATTAATTTTATTCAACCAAACTTGCTTTACTGCACGTTACTTTTTAGCCTGTGTTTATTCAATTTTGGGCATAAAGTAGGTGTTATGTAAATATTTGTAGAATTAATAAATGAAGGCAAAGTTTATCTAAGTATTCTGGTTTGGAAGGAGATATATTCAAATAATTTGCTATTGCAATACCACTTGCTCTTACTTATGAAAGCAGTGAGAAATAGTAGGAAAACTGGGTGTGGAATCAAACTGACATGGTTCAAATCCTAGTTCTGCAATTTACTGCTTTTATGGCTTCTGGGAAATTACTTAACCCTTCCAGACTTTATTTCTCCTTCAATAAAATGGGGATAATATCCACCTTGCCAGGATGTTATAAGCATTGATATATACATATCATGGATTGGTCACAAAGGATTGTGAAAATGCCTCATTTGCAGTAAAATGGTAGGATACAGCCTAGAATATGATAAAAATGTAAGAATTCACATCATCTAAGCAAAATAATGTAAATTCATCACAAATGATGAGAGATCAAAGGGGAGATACAGGACTAACTCTTTCTTTTAAGACCTGTGACAATTTCCCACTATGAAAACAAGTGAAATGTTTCTGCTATTTATACTATTATTGTTTTAACTCTAAGAATTATTTAGGGTGTAGTTTGAAGGATTTATTATTTGGTGATAGCAAACAGTCTCTTTGTGGCTTGCTGGCCTTGTGAGACCTAAGAATATTATAGCTGGATCAAGATTTCTAAGTGGTTGATTTCTGTTTACACCTCACTTAACATAGGTATTCCAGTTACTTTTGCTGTGTAACAAATAAGCCCCAAATTTATAGACTTAAATCAACCATGTTATTTTGTTTATAAATCTGATCAGGAATTTGGAGAGGGCACAGCATGGATGCCTTTCCTCTTTCCAGGATATCTGGGGCCACATTGGGAAATCTTGAAGACTGTGAGTGTGTAGGAACTGTAATCATCTGAAGGTTTGTTTACTCACATGTCTGGTGCCTGAGATGGAATGGCTTGAAGAAGGGGGCTGCTGACTACAGCAGCCACATATGGCCTTTCTACATGGTTTGGCTCCCTTTCAGCATAGTAGCCCCAGGGTAGCTTGACTTCTTTCATGATGATTCAGAGCACCAGGCACAAGTATTCCATCAGACAAGACAGAAGCTGTATTGCCTTTTATGATAACCTTGAAAGAAACACAGCATCTCTTCCATATATTCTCTTAGCTGAAGCCATCAGAAGCCAAGTAGATTCAAGGGGAGAGCCTACTAATTGGTAGGAAGGTCACATTGTAGAGAAGAATATAGGATGGGAGATATTCCTGTGACTGTCTTTCGAAAATAAAATTTGCCACAATGAGTGATTCTGTAGAGGCTCAATTCACAGTACAATATGAAATGAAATATAGTCTATGTTTATCAAAGGTATTTCCTTGTAGTTGAGCTATTCTCACTGCCCTTCATTCAGCTAGTCAGTGGCAATGTATGCTATGTGAGAAGTAAATACAAAAGGTAGGATAGAATTTCCCTCTTCTTCTCTCCTTTGGGATTTCTCCACTTAAAAGCTCTCTTTACTCTCTAATTATTGTCATAGTCATTATAAACATGAAAAATGTTTATTGCATTATTTTAAATTGTGAGAAAGCTTTAATTGACCTATATTTATTATTTCTCTGTGTGGCAGGTGGTGAAGTTTACCAAATCCTTTGAATTGATGTCCCCAAAGTGCAGTGCCGATGCTGAGAACAGGTAGGGCTTGTGAGGTTCCTGTTTGTCTTTTGATGCTCTTTGGTTCTTGGTGTTGGCAACATTGCATAATTCTTTGAGGATAGGAGTTGTTTTTTCTCTATATGAGCAAGTACAGCTAAATGTCATCACTCATGTATTTCAGGGCTTAAATAAAAACTATATCTTAAAAATAAATACAGAGCCTGTAATCCTGGCACCTTGGGAAGCCGAGGCGGGAGGATTGCTTGAGCTTGGGAGTTCGAGACCAGCCTGAGCAAGAGCATGACCCTGTCTCTATTATAAATAGAAAGAAACTAGCCAAACAACTAAAAATAAAAAAAAATTAGCCAGGCACAGTGGCGCGTGCCTGTAGTCCTAGCTATTCGTAAGACTGAGTCAGGAGGATCGCTTGAGCGCAGGAGTTTGAGGTTGCTATGAGCTAGGCTAACACCATGGCACTTTAGCCCAGGCAACAAAGTGAGACTCTGCCTCACAAAGTAAATAAATAAATACACATATATCTGGCTTGCAATCAGTTAAGGCCAAATTTTAGTACTTATAATAGGACTAAAATGTTACCTTTAGATTTTAGTCCTCCTTTTCCCTGAACTTTGTAATGTTTTGAAACAAATCTTAAAATACTCTGCTGATGTCTGAACTTCAAATCCAAATTCTTTATGCAAGTCACTATGGAGTAACAATGGAGTAAACCTCCTTTCTTTAAGCCAACAGTTTTAATTTTTCTTCATGCCAAAGATTTTGACTAAATCTGTTCATGAATAAAGTCAATTTTTAGATATTCCCTAACAGTGCAGACAGCATAATTTTTTGCTTTATTTTGCCCCTTTGTTTCTCTTCCTCACTTTTGTTTGCCTATATTTGGCCACTAACATCCTCTTGGGGGAAAAAAAAGGTGAGAGTTTCCAGTAGTTCACGTTTTGTTCCTTTTGACATCTTTGAGGTTGTAACAGGGTAAAAGTAAGGGTTGGGGACAAATTGGTGAATTTCTCTTAGCTTTCCACTGCCCTGAATAACAGTTGGGCTGCTGCAAAGATTGATTCTCTTTACTTTGGTCACCTTTAGAGGAAGGGCTAGAAAATAGCAAAATTGACCAAAATGCAGAGATACACATAAAGACACATAAAAGTGCCCAGGACAGTATGATGATGAAGACAATGATAATAATACTGGTAACAGTTAGAACCGTTTGAGCAGCCTCCATTCATTGAGTGCTATGTGTGCTAGGTACTATGCCAAATGCTTTCTATGCATTTAATCCCCCAAATAATCTTATAAGGTAGGCATCATTTCCCCTGCATGACATTGAAGAAAACCAAGGTTCCACAAATTTAAGTAACTTGCTTGAGGCCCCGCAACCAGTAAGTAAATGGTGGCCACATCCAAGGACAAGATCATCCAGAGAAGACTCTCCCAACCTATCAACTTTGATCCCATTACCACACATAATTTGAAATCTGGCCATTGATCTCATTTAGTGAATATCTGTTGGGTTAATGTTTCCCAAATCTAGTTGGTCAGTTAGAATCAGGCTGGAGAGTTTGGTAGAAACTAACTTCTCAGGATACACACTGAGAGATTATGATTCAACACTCCAAAAATGAAGTCCTAAAGATCTGTATATTCAAAAGGCTCTCTGGGTAGTACCTATTTCAAGATGTACTATTCAAGGGTAATTTGAGTTTTATATTTGTTATTACTTTTAAGTTCAGGAAATAGAAACTAGTAAATGAAAATGAGCACTTCATTTACTTTACTTTTTATCAAGTGCATGAAGTTTAAAAGAGGCCTTTGCTACTATTGTACAATTCCACTTACAGAAAATTCTTGAAAAGGCAAAATTATAGGAACAGAAAGCAGATTAGTAGTTTCCAGGACAACTACTAAGGGAGGGGTTGACTACAAAGGAATACAGGGGGATTTGGGGTCATGGTAGAACTGCTCTGTATCTTGCTTGTGGTGGTGGTTCTACAACTGCATTTGTTAAAACTTGCAGAACTGTACACTAAAAAGGGTGAATTTTACTGTCTGTAAATTATATCTTGAAATGGAAATTAAAATGGGAAAACGAGGCTTTTGGTAAGAGGTTTTTACATTCATGAAAAATGTATTTATATTCACATCTATATCCAGTGTCAGCTAATCTATACCTAACAAAGATATTTAGGCATGGAGAGTTACTAGTGATATACTCAGCAATTTTCCTAAATAGAATGTTGTAAAATAGTATGAAATACATTAGGAAAAAGATCTATTCATGCTGATTTCTTTAGCTAGTCATGATCTTGTGTAAGTTATATTTCTCGAATATGGGGAAGAAAGCTTTATGGAGTTATTAAAACACAACCTTTGAAATCCTAATGCTTCAATATTGTTATTTTTTATAAGGTTGAACATGTTCTCATGGTGACTTCAGAGTTAAATACTTCTGGCGTTTGGATTATTTTTTTTTTTTTTTTTTTTTTTTTTTTGAGACAGAGTCTTGCTTTCTTGCCTAGGCTAGAGTGAGTGCCGTGGCGTCAGCCTAGCTCACAGCAACCTCAAACTCCTGGGCTCAAGCTATCCTCCTGCCTCAGCCTCCCGAGTAGCTGGGACTACAGGCACAAGCCACCATGCCCGGCTGATTTTATATATATATTAGTTGGCCAATTAATTTCTTTCTATTTTTATGGTAGAGACGGGGTCTCGCTCAGGCTAGTTTTGAACTCCTGACCTTGAGCAATCCACCCGCCTCGGCCTCCCAGAGTGCTAGGATTACAGGCGTGAGCCACAGCGCCCGGCCTGGATTATTTTTTAATGCTGAAAGAATTTCCATATCAAAATGAAATGACCCAAGGCCCAGACTGCCTTTGGCAAACTTTCTGATAATAAAAGAATGAGAGAAAGAGAGAAAGATCGGATTTTCTTTAAAGAGACATTTGAAAAGTGCCTTTGAACTTTGACATTATGAGATAGTCCTCTTCATCATTCTATTTATGGCTTTTAAATTAATGTAGAATGTTCATTTATCTCAGAAGACCTTTCCTTCATTGCCCAGTAATTTTCCTCTTATAGACGTGGGTTTCTTCAGTCGTTTGTTGGAAGTTAAAGAAATAAAGACAAGTGACTCTAACATTTACTTCAGCAGTGGCCTGGAAGGGACATTGAAACAGACTATGAGTCTACAAATCACAGCCTGTTCTCAAAACATTGTAAATCTTTCATCATTTAACATCTCCACTATAGATAACGTTCATTAGATATACCAGTCCTCTGGACATCAGTCAGAAGTATAAAAGTACAGATTTTTGAAGATAATTTCTATGGCTTCATGTAACTGTGTTTAAGGGTACTATTTTGATTCTGATGAACTCTGGTTTGAGGCTTGCTGTACTGTTTGGGAGGGTGCCTTTTAAAAAATTATTATGGTTACATACTTGTTATATATCTTTATAGGGTATATGTGATGTTTTGATACAGGCATACAATATGAATGAATCATATCAGGGTTATTGGAATATCAATCACCTCAGGCATTTAATGTTTCTTTGTGTTAGGAACATTCCAGTTCCACTCTCAGTTATTTTAAAGTATACCCTAACTTATTGTTTATTATAGTCTCTTTGTTGTACTATCAAATATTGTTCATTCTATCTAATTATCTGACTGTATTTCTGTACTTATTAACCATCTCCACTTTATCCTTTCTCTCCACTACCCTTCCCAGCCTCTAGTAACCATCATTCCACTCTCTGTCTCCATGAGATCAACTATTTATCATATTTAGCTCCCACATATGAGTGAGAGCATGTGAGATTTGTCTTTCTGTGCCTGGTTTATTTCACTTAACATAATGTTCTCCAGTTCTATCCATGTTGTTGCAAATGGCAGGATTCCATTCTTTTTATGGCTATTTAATATTCCATTGTGTATATGTGCCATAATTTCTTTATCCATTCATCTGTTGATGGAAAGTTAGGTTGATTCCAAATCTTGGCTATTGTGAAGAGGGCTGCAATAAACATGAGAACGCAGATATCTTTTTGACATATTGAATTCTCCTCCTTTGGATATATACTGAGCAGTGAGATTGCTAGGTCATATAGTAGTTCTATTTTTAGTTTTTTGAGGAACCTCAATATTTTTATCTATAGTGGTTGTGCTAACTTACATTCCCAGTAATAATGTATGTGATTCCCTTTTCTCCACCATTTGTTATTGCCTGTCTTTTTGATAAAAAGCCATTTTAACTGGGGTGAGATGACAGCTCATTGTAGTTTTGATTTGCATTTCTCTGATGACTAATGATGTTGAACATGTTTTCATATACCTGTTGGCCATTTTGTATGTCTTCTTTTGAGAAATGTCTATTCGGATCCTTTGCTCATTTTTTAATTGAATTATTTGATTTTTTTTCCTATCGAGTTGTTAGAGCTCCTTGTATATTATAGTTATTAATCCCTTGTCTTATGAGCATACAATATGAGAATATATGTAAATATATTCTTCCATCCTGTGCATTGTCTCTTCACTTTTTTGATTGTTTCCTTTGCTGTGCAGAAGATTTTTAGCTTGATGTGATCCCACTTGTCCAATTTTGCTTTGGTTGCCTGTGCTTGGGAGGTATTACTCAAGAAGTCCTTGCCCAAACCAATGTCTTGAAGAATTTCTTCAAAGTTTTCTTTTAGTAGTTTCATAATTTCAAGTCTTAGATTTAAGTCTTTAATCCATTTTGATTGATTTTTTATATGATAAGAGAAAAGGGTTGAGTTTCATTCTTCTGCATATGGATACCCAGTTTTCCTAGCACCATATATTGAAGAGACTGTCCTTTCCTACTGTAAGTTCTAGATACCTTTGTAGAAGATAAGTTCACTACAGATGTGTGGATTTATTTCTGGGTTCTCTGTTCTGTTCCATTCATCTGTGGGTATGTCTTTATGCTAGTACCATTCTGTTTTGGTTACTCCAGCTCTGTAGTATAATTTGAAGTCAGATAATGTAATTCTTCTAGTTTTGTTCTT